AGAAAACTATAAGACAAGCTCGTATTCTCCATTAAAGTGGATAAAGGACAAGGTGCTCGGCATTGTTCAATCGAGCCTATAAGTCTCTCTGTGGAGGTGATTGAGCGCATATTTGCTTTTTAATATGACCTATTGGTGCTGACCTTGAAATCTACTTAGTGTTTTTTCTTCCCTAAAATAAGTCAGTACCAATTTGCCGATCTCGTAAGTATGGGAGGCTTAGCTGACCCGCATACTCTGGAGCGAGCCAACGACGTCCTATAACTACTACGATAGAGCCGACGTTCTTCCCATTACTGCTGGTAACTGAGACATGACGTAATTAATGTATATAAATAATCAGTCTATAAATAATCCTTCATATGTCAACGAGACAAATGAATCTTAGGTCGACTCAAAATACTCTGCATTAAATTTTCGTTAGAGACCTGTTTTACATTATAAACAGACTATCTGATACTTTATGAATACAATATGTCCAGTAAGGGGTTTTGTGTTAAGCCCTTATATTTGTTAGGTTGTTTGATCATACACTAAATCCATCTACTCTCTGGCTATCTATCGGTTCACCAAATTTGTCATTTTCTACATCAGCGTGTATGTGTTCAAGAAAATGACTTGGAGTGAACTCAGTGTCGACAAACTCACACGGTATTTTGGTAGTTAAATGCTTTTTTTCAGAATTTTATTTGTTCTATGAATAGCTAAGTGAATTAGTGGTGAGCAGAAATACGATCTCAGACGGGAGTCGAAACCGTGTAGTATTATCTATGAATAGCATGTGACCCTAGGTTCAATACTTATTCCATTCAGCAAGAGATAAAGACATGGATTTGTGCTCTGCAATATTAACTATATAGCTACTCGGTGTTTGCCTTGTTTTATCTATCGTTGCCATACTTGTCTCCGAATTGCATTTGATCAGCGACTTCTGAGAGAATCGTTCTGTAGAAACAGTGTACGTGCAGTTTGCGGAGAAAATACAAACCCTTTCAGATAACACTGGATTCAATTCTCTCATGTTTGTCCACGGTCATAGTCGTACGATTGTTTTTCATCGGTTATCTAGCTAGACTTTGTCATTCCGAGACGGTAGGCCAGTGAATAGTTTTCACAATCAATGCTCACTCTCCCACTAAATTACGAACTAGACAGAAAACTCTACGATATCTTTGTTACCACCACAGTCATTTGGAGAGTTTGACCTGGCGAGCACCATCCTTTGACACCTCCACCCACTCATCATCATTCAATTGCCGGTGTGGAACAGCAGTGACTCCAGGTGGACAAACTCAGATATCATGAGGCGATTCCAGATATAGTCATTTCGTTGGCAATAACTAGGTTGCTTTGCATGAAATGCTCACTTTTTCAATGTTAACGTTCTAGGCGTTTTCATATTTCTGTAAACATGTTTTTCTATTTGTTAATTTCTGAATATGAGCTCAAAATTTGAAATTTGCTTCACAGTGGATCAATCAATTTTTTCGAACTACAAATGCATTTCTATTCTATTTGTTGAAAGAATCAAGATCAAAATCAAATAGCTTTTCTCAATGAATAAAAAAATATAAGCACCATATTTTAGTTGTATGTACTTGAACCAGCCCGTCTTATCACATTTACCCATTCAAAACGGAGTCTTTTTTTTTGCTTTTCCCTCAGATTTTCGGCAGTCATTCGATAGGTTAATCAGTGATTTCAATACTGTCATGCCATTTCAAGAGCACCTCAAAAGGTGTGATCTTCGTTCTTCATTTTTCTCAGTCTCAATGGAACTTCTGATTTCTTGTATAAAGCTCATAGGAAAGACTCTCTATTGCCGTTCAATACTAGCTTTTTCTATCCCATATTGTTGCTATGATATTATGAAAAGGCCGCTGTGAAGTTCAAGCGACGAGGTAACTAATTTCAATGTGAGACGTAATATTTTTCCACTCTTACAGCGTTCTATGAAGATCTTGTCATAATTCAGAATCAATTTCAGAATTATCAAGCATTTATGCTATTAAAAGTCTACTGAAAGTCTGGTAAGATGTCACTAATAAATCCTATCCGGGCAAACAAAGCAAACCGATTGCGAAACATAATTTGACTTTAGCTTCCGCAATGGACTAGGAAGGCCTTACTTGAAACAATGCACGATTTTGGAATTATCGAAAATCAGGGTTACTAACATTGGTTGGAAGTCCAAGCGGAATACTCTGTCTAGCGAGAAAAGTCTCCAAATGGCAAGTAGCCGCCACTGCGACAAGGTACCGGCAGTTCAGTCGAAAAACGGACCAATGTCATTAGTTCAAAAAGGTTATATGCCAATACCGACATCACATAGGCGTAAAATCATCGTTGAGGTCAAGAAATTCAGAACGTTGAATCAAGAGAACTCAAAACAGAAAATTACGATTTCCAAGAGGACTCGAAACAAAAAGTTACGATTTGAGTTTGGAACAGCTGCGGGTTCTATGCTTCAATTATCACTCTGGATGGATCAAAAGCTCACCAACTGCAACAGTTGTGCAGATCACGATGTCTAGTGCTGAGCAAAGTTGTGACAAGCGTGCTTAAGAATCAATCGAGCGAACTTATGTGTTATGACAAAGAGCAAAGTCTGGTGTTCAGACTCAAGAACGCTGAGTTAAGATCCAAACCTTGAATTTGATGCTTATGCGTTATGTATTCAAACCACCTATACAATTTCTTCTCGGCATTTTCGTGGTTATTCTTCACAGCGCATCCTTCCGCTAGACCGTTAGAAAAATATAGCTCTCGGTGTTGATCAGTCCCTGAGAGTGCGCTATTCATTTAACTTTATCAAGAATAGTAAGAGGTAAATGAATGCTTATCTGGCCTTCGGAAATGCCACGCGGTGTTTTATCGCTGCATAAGTATGGGTGGCAGCTACCGGTTCACCGATCAGACACCTCTAACCGCTACATCGCATACTCTAGACTTTCGCGTTAAATAAAGAATGAGGCAGTGAATACAAAGAAAATTCTGATAGTGAAATCGATATGAAAATTTCCGAAAAATGGGAACCTTTCCAAGATTTCTATTCGCAGAGTTTGATATTTTATACAAGACAGCCAAATATTAAAAAACATGCGGCATCTAATTTTCATCTTTCTGTTCATGTTTTTTTTGCGGTAAAATCTATTCTAACCTTCATTTTTATTGCTAACGACGTAGTGACCACACATGGACAAACAAGCGGACAAACGAATTGTGTCCGTTCATGTTCACATCATAATGGTGTTAAACCTTTATTTCCAAGTCATCTCATTTATCTATTGGTTTCATTATAATTAAGGTTTCATACTCTATTCACTGATGATGTCGTACGAACAGAACGCTGGTTCAGTACCAGCACAGGCCCTCCAATCCTTCCATCATTCCTAAATGACTAACTGCGTACTAGACAGGTCCGGATCAACTCACTCCCTCTGGTACATGTGAAGACATTCTAGAACGGCTATTCTAAGATTATAGGAAGACTACGATCAACCAACATTATTAAACGTTCTCCAAAGGAGCAAAGGTGTCAGACGCGATTTGAGAACTCACGTGTAAAAAGCTTGGAGATTTTCTTGAATAATGTGATTCGAGGAAGCGAATCAGATTTAAAACGACTGAGATCCGCAGAGTAGTAGATGTTAGGTCATTTAGAAAAGAACGGTCACGAAATCGTGGTTCTTTAGATTTGTGAAAGAAGTTTGATAGGAACGGAAATGTAAGTAGGAGATTTGTAACCAATATTTCAATTAAAATGTTTAAAATAAAAAATGTAAACAATGTATTAGATCACTGAAGCAGCGAAAGAAAAACCTTTCATTATAAGCAGATTTTATTGATTAATATTAATTAACTAAACCGACTTTCTCTCAACTTCTCTATGAATTATTAAGGTAAAAAAAATTTGAAAAAAATGTCTTGGAAACCAGCTATTATTAAACCTCGGCAAATATAATGAAGCGTTCCTAGTCCAACCACCCCTTTTTACTTTCTAAAAGTGTATCTAAACATTGTTCTCGATTGGATAACACATAATCAACACGTGGTTATTTAGCATCATCTGCCTGATGTTTCATTGTCCTTTCGTTTTGTTGTTATTGAATAAGATTAGTAGCTACTACATAAAAGTGTTCCGCATAGGCCTGGCCAATAGCTTTTTGTCGTTGCTGCTAAGTGTGTGTTAATTTATTTTCATGTCAATAGACATCTCTATATCTTGATATTGTTTTCGATTGAATAACACATAATCAACACGTGGTTCATATATATATATATATATATATATATATATATACTTGTATAGTATATATTACATGTATACATATATATATATGTATATAAATATGAACACGTATATGCATGCATACATAGTAGATCCGTGCATTTCTATATAGGGTATAATAGGATAATGTCATTACCATTATCAATCTCTCAAGGGATTCATCATTCATTTCACTGAATTCGTAACATTCCAGAAATGACTAAATGTGAACGGAACCTGAACAATAACCTGAGGCATTACCGATACACTAAGTCGCTGTTTCTATTCTAGCAGTCTAGTTTGATAAAAAAAATCTCCAGCCATAGAAGTATAGAAGATTCGGTGAGGCGGGCGTGTAGGATTGAGTGGAAAACCAAGTATATATTGAGAGCCTGCTCTGATCATTGCTCTATCTATAGATTCATATACGTGCATGCTCGTTCTTCTTATAAACAACTTTTCCATGTACCTGTGTAACGACAGTAAAGTTAACCAATTCGCTACTGATCAGAGCCGTTCATTTGCTTGAAAAGACGAATAAATAAACAATAATTAGTGCATAAACTGCTGACAAATTGGTATAATTCACGTTTGTAGGGACCTGATGAGATCATAATCAGCTGATTTAGTCAATAAAAGTCCTCATGAATATTGTAGAGGCTTTAGACGTGAATTTTGGTCAAATAATTATCAGATATGCTTGAAAGACTAGAGTGGTGAGCAAAAGCACGACTTTAGACGGGAGTTGAACCCGCGTTCCATCCATACCGGAGGCGCGTGCTACCACTACACCACAGAGGTACATTCGCACCTCCAATCATTCTTCAACATCTCTGTCTAAGCTGTCAGCCACCAACCTTTAACAGGTTTGGGCGGGTATGCGGTTTCGCTTTATAAACACAGTTGAGCTTATCAGATAAAGGAAATGTCGGTTCTTCTAATGATGGATTTTGTGGAATGTGCTAGGTACTATTCCTTATAAGTTTACATTCGTGATTTCCTTTATGGTACACGACAACATTAGGGCAAACACTGGCATAGCTTTGTGTTTACATAAAACAACACCATCTGGGTGGAAAATAAGGTAGAAATTGAACACACCGCGTAGTGTGTTCTTGAATGTCAAAATGCAAGAAAACAGCGACAAATTTCAAAAAGTGTACAAGTTTCTCTAAACGGTAAACAATCGCATAATTATGCAGAACTGAAGTAATTTCCGGAATTGACTTCCACTGCCCTTGACAATAATCAATAAGATGGTTTTCTTCATGAACAGACATAGGTTTGTTGATGAAAGCTTTTCAATAACAATAATAACGCAAGGTGCCTTCTCAAGAAGAAAACATCTTATTGATCAATAACGCAGTTAAAAGGAATTTGGTCTTGATATTTAATCTCAAATATAGCAACAGAATACTTCAGACTGCAAAATTATTGTGAAATATTATTTATTCTAACACTTTAATGACTAATACTCAAAATATCTAGTATGTTTAGTGCACTTTTCACACAATTATGATGTTTCATATGTCCCTAAGAAAATTGAGTGATGAGCAAAATTACGACCTCAGACGGGAATCGAACCCGCGTTTTATCCATGCCATGGGCGCTAAGTACTTTGGTTACCACCCAATTCTCTTAAAGATATATGAAACTTTAATGACTCTTTTCCACAAATAAGGCATAACATTTGGAATTCCAACACAGTTCTTCAGTTCTAGTATACCATTTAAACAAGACTGTCTGCAGTAGCGAAAGAATTGCTAAGATTTTCACAAGACGTTAACATTGCCATCTAGAAGCTACTTTTTTGCCAGAATAACAGCGAATCCTGACATTAGTTCGCTCTGAGTTGGATTTCCACATAGAATGTCAGACTCGTAAAGATTCGAATAGGGCAAAAATTCTCGCAATCAAACAATCGAGTGGGTGTTTTTCCAGCTATGGTGACGTAATAAATAATTTGGTGTTGGCGTTGTATACGTCATATATTTTGATGTATCATCTCCTTCATCATTTATGAACACTCTATTGTATTGTGTTTACATTGCATAAAGTTGTACTTACAATTGTGAACTGTGCGAAGTGCTTGCTGGTTATACTGTGAAATTTATCAAATAAGATCGAAAAGGAAAGAAACTTTGGTATGATGTCTACATAATGATTGAACGTGTTAATTTCCCGTTAAAAAGACTTTTTTAAGGAATCTAAACAGGCCACAATTTAATTTTATGACAATACAAGAATCCACTTTACATTTTGCTGTTGTCCGCTTTATTTCATTATTAACAGTTTAGATTTTTTTTCGTCATCAAAACCTCATTTTTCGTGTAGCAACTGAAGAAAATCTTCTCTTATGCGCTACTCATTCAAATTTTTCTAAGGCATTCATAGAATTATCGAGTTCCTTTATCATTTATAGCGAATCATCAATATAGCTTGTTAAACGGTCATCAATGCTGTCACATAACGACAGCTGGCTAAAAAGCATAAAAAAGGCCATAATTGTTGCCTTTGACAACATATATGACGAGGAGAAGCGAATCACAATATTTTTCTCGTCTTTGTGCACATTTTGCATGATTCGATCATTAATGAAACGTTGCAAATGGCTGACAGATGTTGATTCTAACGGTCTCTGCTTTGCTTTGCTTTTCTTTTCATTTCTTTTACAATTCCTCGTTTTCGTTATCGCTTTATTATTCATTCAGCTGATAGACCTTGTCTCCTATATCGCCTATCGAAGCTTCATGATCGGTTTTATTGATTTTCGCCCAGCTTATAAGGAACTCATTCACTTATCGAGCATCCTGTTCAACCATTTGTGTTGAACTTTACCTAGTTACTTGAATAAATGGCTCGCTTAGTAGGACTCAGCCAGAACGACAGCGATTCTCGTGTTTAATCGCATGGGATCCGGCTGAGGAGAATGCAGAAAATCGCAGTTGCATTTCCTTACTATGTGCTCAAATTAACATTTTAAAAAGTTCTATTTTTCGCCCAAAATGTCGTCGTTGAACTTAAACTTTATTACATCGCAAGTCGATAAAGAGCACGGATGGAAGGTGAAAAGAGTGGCGTGTAGTACTCTGGTCAAAGATGCCTTTCAGTTCTCAGAATGTCGCTGGTTCGACCTCACTCCCTGGCTATCACTCCCTCATCCATCTGAGATCTAAGATTGCCCGGTAGAATAAAGATGCGGATTTGCTAGATTGATACGCACTCATAAGCCATTGTATGGACCAAGTATGAGATCAGTCACCTTTACAGGGCTTTCATAAACTGTCTCCCTTTGTCGAACCGGAGAATTCACCACGGTGTTTTTGGCGTTTCTACTCTTGGCTTGATTCCAGACTGAAATATTGAGCTCCTTCTCAGCTCGTATGACTCTTCTGGAAATCTACTCTAGCTGTATTCGGTCGATATTCAACGCTTGGGAACGTCGTTATTTTTGCCATGGAGGGACTTCGTAAGCAAATGGATGGGTTTCCATGCGTGAAGCTTCTCTGTTTTTTTTTAATGAAATCAGCTTTCATGAAGACAGTTCGTAAGGCCTATTTCAAAGTGCGTGCTACTGTTTGAAACGAATAGAAACCATTAAACTGAAGTAGAATCTTATTTGAGGCAGTAATTGAAAACATTTGAATTATAGAAAACTGAATGTTTTAAGACCATGAGCCCCCATAAAAGTGCGGTCTATTCCAATGGTCGCCAAATTTGTTCCAATTTTATTTTCTATAAGCAATTAATCATCGGAACAGTGGTAGGGAAATGAGAGAGTAAACTAGATGAAGGATCACCATTAGATCAGCAAATCATTTTGGAAATTAGGGAAAGCTAAAAATTTTGAATTGAATACTAGTTGAGTCGATCAGTCCTGGATTACTGGTTTATCGCTTCTAGGGCCTCACCCCGTAGATTGGGAGGAGTCAGCTGATCCAAACATGCCTGGTACCAAACTATTAATCCTTCCGGGACGGCATCGCACGGCGCATAAGCGGCGCACTATTTTCATTTAGTTGATTTCCTTCTCTGTTTTGGGGAAACCCTAGGTTTTCATGTTACTCTGATGCTCCATGATTTTCTTTACGTGGTCATATGCTTTCTGTGCGTATGAAACCCTTATATACGAAGATAACTTCGAGAGTGAAGCGTAATACTTCTTTTCCATTTATTGCGCTCTATGTGAACCTTTTCAAAAACTAAATTCAGCACCAGAAATTTCGACATTTGAGCTTTCAAATGATTATCAAAAGTTTAGCAGAAAGCCATCCACAGACTCCAACCAAGTAAACAAACGAACTAAGCGCGAAACGGCATATTATCTCCACTTCTACAACGCAACAAGAGAGGCTTTCCAGAAACCATACATAGTATTGAAATTGTCGAAATTTAAGTTTCGAATAATCGCTAAACAATTTATGCAAAAATTTTTTTTACAGCCAGAACGGCCTCCAGTATATATCTAAATGGATGCATGTCGTCCCAAAGAGTTAACCTTTGAGGGATGGCAGCCTTGTTTGGCGTAAGGCCACGGTCGAACCAGTGCTTAGGTACTTTAAGCTTTCTGTGTAATGAGCATCGTCACTGCCACTGTTGCTCGCTCGTACGTTTTGTAAATAGCGTAAAACTAGTACTTAGCGCTTATCTACCATGTACTGATGAAACAAAGTCGGCTTATAGTACTGTCCTATTCTCAACTGTCATGTCCTGTAATACTCAAGTAAGTATCTAATTTAATATTTTAAGATCTGTAGGTCAGTAATAGACGAGAATTCTGGGTTCTTTCATGCTGAACCATGGCAAAAATGAGCTAAGCTGCGAAAAGATAGTGGCACCTTCTATTTTAAAGTATTATAGCAAAGCCTTTCCCATAGGATGTTTCTCAAGAAGAAATGTGCACTATGCGTATTACTTATCGAAACGTGCTGCCTGTAATATAACTGTAAAGGTGAGTTTTCAAAGAAGTAAGAATTTTGTTCAAATGCTACATATAATTATATTGTAAATAAGAAAAGTCTGTTGAAGAGCTGAGTAATTGTTCTGATTGTCGTTTTCTATATTCTCTTAATTATTTGCTAGGTATTGGAATCTGGTTAATGCAATGCAAAGTTTGCAACTTGCACTTATGGTTCAATCTCATGGCGCAAACTACAATTGCCGCGTTCCTTTAATATCTTTGAAATTACTAGGGCACATGCAGTTGATCCTGTTGAATCGGTTCCATACACATGCTAAGCAAACCAAATTCACAATCATATCGCTTCGGCAAACCGCTTCAGAACATGCATATCACTGTGTAGGATTGTTGAATGCAATGGCAAAACTTTATTCCGCATTACTAGGATTGAAAATCTGCCGATAAAATAATGTTTGTATGGTCGCCTTATAAATAACTAACATTCTCTATTTATTCTGCGGAACAACCTAAATATCTACATATTTAAGTAGACATAATGCTTCTTATCCTTTGCTCATTAAATCTGGATAGCTAGTAGAGAAGAGATGAGGCTTTTATCATGAGGCGCGCGCCACGTATAGTATTCTCCATACATAGCTTCATATGTAGTGGCTGAAGCTAATCTGGCCCATACAACGACTTCTTCTAGCCCTACGATGTACATGTCTGGAGCAATTTGCAGAGCCAGAAAAGATAGATGAGAAAAGATAGATGGTTTGATGAACCTGGGACACCGGATCAAACCAAAAACCACTGAGAGTATTGCGGGGCACCTCTAATCATCAAGCTATACCTCCCAATGGCTTTAACCTGTCGACGAATAGCCGGCACTAAGCAAGCC